CCTCAATGCAGCACAATCCTAAAGATCAGTTATGATTCGCAATGCTTACTCAAGGAAAAGTCAGAATTGTCAATTTTTTTGAAGAACCATGCAATATTATCATGGTAAAGTTAAAATATATGCCAAAAACTCATTAAACTGTCAAACAAGCCTTAAGATAAGGCTACTCTCTAGGGGCAAACAATAATAGTAGACAGAGTTGTATCTTCAATGTGTTTATTCTGGTGAAGACCATTCAGAAATAACTCTTCATGCTGAGTCTCTTAGAGAAACCACCAGGACAAGAAAAAGTTACATAATAAAGAACTGGTCAGAATTTTTTTTAAAAAAGGCCAACTAACCTACAATCTCCTGGAATAACTTGTTCTTGTGAGGCTATTGCTTATTTTCACCTCATACAAGTATGAGAAACACATAACTGTGCCCCTTAGAAGATATTTTAGTAGAGAAAGTAGTATGATTGACTTTTAGCAACATTATGAAATAGAAAGTACTTTTGTCTTTTTTTCCCTCAAATATTCTCCTTAGAAGAAAATTCCCTTGGATTTCAGCTCCAACTGTTTTTACATCATGACATGAAATGACTACTGGGACCACAGTCATGTAGAGATCAAGGTGGCTCTAAACTTATAAGTTGCTTTCCTGCTCCAAGTAGTGTGAATTGTCATCTCTCCTTTGAAAATATGCAGAAACCAAGGGACTTAAAAGTCCCTTTACAACAAAATCTTAGTTCATTTTCTAAGATATCCTCAAGTGTTTGATGCCACTGAAAGAACAGGTAGCATAACAGGATGCAGTAATTTAGAATTTTCTCTCAACTTATAAATGTATTCCCTCATCTTCCCCAAAATACAGAAAAATCTATAGATGAAATCAGGCACGTTCAGGGTGCTATGGCCATAGACTAAAAATCTATAGAAATGGTATAATAAACAACAATTAATGATAGTAAAATTGTATTAGATGAACAATCCAGGACTGTGTACCACAAAATAACTTTTAACTTTATCCCTGGTATGAAGCTAGTACTAGAAAACCAAATTTTTCATAGTTTGCTTCCTAATGCACACCAACAGAACCATCCCCAGAGGCCAAAGTGGGACCAACTCTCTCCCCACAAACATTGTATCTACATAAAAAATTAAAAAAAAAAAAAAAAAAAAAAAGCAGGGCCAAGGATTTAGCTCAGTGGTTCCACCGCCTGCCTTGCAAGCACAAGGGCCAGAGTTCGATCCCCAATACAAAAAAAAAAAAAAAAAATTAAAAATTAGCTAAAATTCTGGCTTATGCACACTTACCTTAATAGGATACATGCAAAGAAAAATTAAGAATCAATGGTGGTATTCACATGTATTGTTCTATCACAAGCAGAAATCTTTAATTCCTTAGAGCCAGACCACTTAGATTTGATTCCTGATTCCAGCACTTACCTTAGTCTGTGTCTGTGTCCTTGGGAAAACTATTCTTCTCTGGGATTCAGTTTACTTGTGTGTAAAATAAACTTAATAGTACTTACCTCTCATTGGCTGTTCTGATGTTACCTCATCAACTGGTGAACAAACAAGTGGATTCTATAAATTTTTCTATGCTACACAGCACATATGCTGTGTTGAATCCAAATATGTGTACATACATGCATATATTAAAAATATTAAAAATTTATTATAAACACATTGATAAATGGATACTAAATTCGGCAAGAGTCAGATGTTCTGGCATTTTGCACTGTAGGGTGACTATAGATAATAATTATGTATTGTATATGACAGAAAGCTAGAAGAATTCTGAATAAACGTTTTCACCACAAAGAAATAATAACTGAAAGAATAATAACTAAATAATAAACACAGACTTAAAACAATACTCTGTGTTTACATGTCCAGTTATGTTTGCCTGCAAATATCAGCAATTGGGAGGCTAAGGCAGGAGGATTCCAAGTTTGAAGCCAGCCTTTTATACACAGTGAGACCCTGACTCATCAAAAAAAGAAAAAAAAACAGGCCAGGCATGTTGGCAGAAGCCCATAATCCCAACACTCTGGGAAGCTGGAGCAGGAGGATCACAAATTCAAATTCAGCCAAAGCAACTTAGCAAGACCTTGTCTCAAAATAAAAATAATGAAAAATAAAAAGGTTTAAGTAGGTAGCTTAGCAGGAAGGCCTTGGATTCAAGCCTTAGTACGACCAAAAAAAAAAAAAAAAAAAAAAATGTAA